TCTGAAGGGGGACTATAGGGATGTTGGAGAGGGACTCTTCATTAGAGACTGTAGTGACAGGACAAGGGGTAATGGGTTAAAACTTAAACAGGAGAAATTTAGGTTGGATATAAGAAGGAAATTCTTTCCTGTTAGGGTGGTGAGGCACTGGAATAGGTTGCCCAGGGAGGTTGTGAATGCTCCATCCCTGGCCGTGTTCAAGACCAGGTTGGACGAGGCCTTGGGTGATATGATTTAGCGTAAGGTGTCCCTGCCCATGGCAGGGGGCTTGGAACTAGATGATCTTAAGGTCCTTTCCAACCCTAGCAATTCTATGATTCTATGATTCTAACTCCAAAAAGGCATTTGGGAGCCTACCTTATTTTGTGATGCCCCAGCTCCAGCTCAATTCAGAGAGAAGTTAACAGCATTTAATTATAGCTGTGCCAAAGGCTTGTGTCAAACAATGTAGGTAAGTCAAAACAGAATAAAAGTCAATTAATATGCTTTTGTGACAACATTTCCAAATATATTAAACCTAAGAATGTATCTATATGTATTACTAAGGTAGTATATGAATAGGGGATATACTTTTCTTGCAACAAATGACTTTCAAATAGAAAATAGTAACCTTGTAGAAGGGGAAAGCATTAATAAATGATTGCAATAAATAAACCTCTTTAAAAAAATTTCCTGATTGTGCTGACCTTTTCTTTTTCTCATTTTGCTGATGGGTATTTTTATGAGTTACTATTTGAATTGAGTGTAAAATGAAAAATAATAAACCCCCAAGTCTTTCAGAATAACTTAAGTGAAGCCAGATGACAGCTGGGAGATAGCTATGCTGAAATAATAATATTCACTATTAAAGAAATTAATATATAGAAATAATAGTATATATATATAAAAATGTATCTAGAAATAATATACAGCAAGCTATATACAGCACTAGGGAAAACACTGGGGAGAGAGAGTATATTTTTTCTAAGCTGTTACATTATCTTCCAAGAGAAGTCACACGCACACATTGTTTGTAATAAAATTGACACATGGAAATAAAAAGGTTCTGTAAAAATTTCAGCATTCAAGGAAAATGATTTCTTGTCCAGTGCATGCACGGACACACACATCACCAACAGGCAACTTTTATTGTTAATATTAGTTTTCCTTGCATTTTAAAAAAAAATAAGTACAAATTATTTGAATCATGCCATATTGGTCAAGCTGTTACAGAAAGATAGGATTATTCTGTATAGTTGTATTTTATACACCTGAGCTGATACTGCAAGGAAAATAAGTAAATTTATGTGTTAGGCTAAAATAGTAAACATGCAATGCCTTTATGCCCTTTTCTTACTCATTTAACTTCAGAACCAAATTCTATTCTTTCTCTGTAGTATCTGTGCCAGGTACTACAGGGCAAGATGCAAGAACCTACCTGTAGCTTCCCATACGCACTCTTGCCATAGTTTGCAAGTTATGTATTGGCCTAAATCACTGTTCATGGCATTTTGCATGATAAAACCTCAATAATCTTGATGTCTTTATAACTGTCTAGCCCTTCCTTGTGAGTTTTGCTGAGCTGTTGGATTTGGTGACTTCTGGTAGCATTTTGATCCACAGTTCAGTTACTATGGAGAGGTATTTTTGTGTCAGTCCTGGTTTTCACACCTTCAATTTAATTGAATATTATCGTGTTCCTGGGTTGTGAGGTGCAGAGGCAGAAGCTTCTGAGTCACCTTCTTTATTTGATTTACTTGAACATATCTCTTCAGATAGCAGAACCTTGATCTTTTCTGTCCTTGGTCATACCAGAGGTTTTACAGACCCATAATCACTTATGTTCTCTTAATCCTTCTGCTTCTGCAGCACACTGTGAGGTACTGATTGCTGTACAGAGCAGCTGCAGAGGGCTGTGTTGTTGCTTCAGACAAAGGAATCAGAACTTTGGTCTTTTTATTCACTTCTTTCTCATGCATCCTACCATCTTGCCAATGCTTTATTCACAGCTGCACATTCTTTAGAGACTTCAGTGAAGTTTCTTGTGAAGTATGAATGAAGTATGTAAAATGGTTAACTGTTTAAAAAGAGATATAATTTATTAAAGATATTAATGATAAAGAGAACTATTCACCTTTTTTTGCACCCAGAGTGATTATAATATTGCAAAGAGTTGATGCACACTTTCATCTTTTGCTAAGGTTTAATTTTTTGTGTGCGTTTTTCCTTGTTTTCCTTGTGTTTAAAAGAAATCATCCGTGCAGACAATGAACAATAGTGGTGTAATTACTGAAAACCCAAACTAAACTACAGACAGTAGAAGGAGAGTACTGTCTGGAGGCAGAGGGTACCCTCTGGACTTATTATACACATCTGGGTTATTTACTTTTGTTTTAAGAAACTGCTTAAGTGCCATTTTTGGTCACTTTACAGTGATATTACTGGCATGCTTGATTTGCAGACATATTCTCATGTTAGTGGTTGTACAAAATTATAGAGAGGTGAAAAACATGCCTGACAGTTTCCTAACTATAGGAAAGGTTTTTTATATACCATTTATGTTGCTGTGACTTTGAAGCCAATAGCTAGCTGCACCTCCTGTGAATACTGTTGGTTGGTAACTGTGACTTCCCACTTCAGGTCTAAACCAAACTCTTAGCAGAGTGGGTGGAAAGAGACAGGTACAAAGTGAAAGCAGCATCTTAATGCAGCAAAAGCTCCAGGCAGTGAGGCAGGATTTGGTATTATTAAATGTGATGGGCAAGGGAATGAGTTGTAACAGGCAAAAGTTAACCAGTATTTGCATCCACCACATACAGTAAACGTCGTATAACATTGTTTTCATATGCCGCATCTAATCAGGTGTTTTTCCTGGGAATGTATAGGAGTTGTAAGTTGGGAGTGGTGATGGTTTTCAAAGGTCACTCATTGGTAAGAAAAGTGTTTGGAAAAAGTTGGTCTATTCAGTTGAAATGCGGAGAAATTTCTAGGCAGGTGAGGTGTAGAGGCACTCACAAGACTGTAAACTCAGATTCTGCATTAATAAATCTTACAAGACTTCTGTTTAATAGGTACATCATGGCCAAAAGGCAGTTTTACATCTTTGAAAGATGACATTCTGCTTTCCTGCAGCAATACCTTAGAACCACACATGAGCAGGTTCTTCCTGCTGCCTACTGCAAACATGAAAACCCTCAAAAACAAACAGAGCTACAAATGAGTTCTGCAGATGTTGGATTAGGTGCAAAATGATGTGACTTGACATGGTTACCCATATGCTTACACAAAAACTGCACAGACGACTCTTCAAAAACTCTTCCCTGCAAAACCTTCCAAAATCTCCATTTTGCTCAGTCCATACTGATACTTTCTGTAGAAGGAGTGGATTTTTTTTCATAAATTGGCTGGAATCACCATAATGACTCTCAGCATGCAATAATATTTTCCCCTTGGAGTTTGGTGAGTAAGAGTTAGGAGAGCTCAAATCCTGTATTATTCTGGGCAGCTGTAAAAGAAAGTATTCTGCATTTGATCAAGAGAAATTACTTGAGTGCGTATTTTAGACTGAAAGTGTTCACAAAACCAAAGTGATCTAAATTGCAACTATCATAGTTGTTCACAAGATTTTATAGAAGGGGCAAATCTATTACTAAAAAGTATGAACACCCCCACCTTCCACCCCTTGTTTACCATCTTTGCACTTCTTATAGGAAACTGATTAGTATGCCTTTTATTTCTAGGAAGTGAATCAAGCCCTTGTTTAATTCACGTAGGGATCGGAATACTGCCACTGCAGTGTTATCTATCAAATTTCAATGGAACAGTTATTGAGTATATATAAACTGTCCAGGTAACCCTTAGTTTAGGCATTCTGGTTTTTATAGTATTTTTCATTGGTAGCTGACTTGTTAAAGCCTAAAGGGAAGCTCTGCATGTTGCAATAGAGACAGCATTCAAAAATACTTCCAGTCAAGAATAATGTAAAAAGAGGATAAGGGAAAGATAATATACATTATTGTTGTGGTTTAAACCCTAGCCAGACAGCTTGTTCACTCACTTGGAGTGAGTGGTGATGGGCTGAGAGTAATCGAGTCCACCCCTCCCCCCCCCGGGACTCTCCCATTCCCTGCTCCCGGAGGAACAGGGAGGAGGATCGAAAGAGTGCAACTCCCACGGGTTGAGACAAGAACAGTCCAGCAACCAATGTACAACACAAATCACCACCGCTACCACCAATGACAACAATGATAAGAGAAAATAACAAGGGGAGAGAATACAATACCACCGGCCAAGAAAGCGAGTCCCACCCGCAAGCCGATGTCCTTCCGAGTAACTCCCAGTTACCCCCACCCCGGGCATGACGTGCTGGGGTATGGAATACCTCCCTGGCTAGCCTGGGTCAGGCGCCCCATCTCTGCTTCCTCACAGCTTCCCCTCCTCCCTGGCAGAGCATGAGCCTCAAAAAGTCCTTGGTCAGGGTAAACATCACTTAGCAACAACCGAAAACATCGGCTTCACCAACACTGTTCCCAGGCTGGAAGTCAAAACACAACACTGCACCAGCTACACCGAAGGAGAAACATGACTGCTACTGCTGAACCCAGGACAACTACCAAGAATGTAAAAAACTTACTGTCTTTAGAGAAAGGAATAGATAACGTATATATAAGTGGTGGCTTAAACTCTCATTTATTGCTTTGATTTCTACATTAAAATCAAGGACATATCTAAGTACTGCTTTCACTGAAACTTAGGGGTATGGGTATCTTCACTCATGTTAGAGGCTGAGAATATTGTCTAGAGCTGCAGTATAAATGTGCTGCATTCACAGCAATTACAAAACTGTAATGCTTTTCCTTCTAGCATGGAGTGATCCTGGAGATGCACTTTCTCCATTTTTAACACAGCTTATATTTTCTTTTGATTCCTGTAATAGGAAACACAGCAATGATGTTTATCTCCTGAACATGACATAGCAAATGGTAAAAGCAAACATCCATGGCTATGGAAATACTATCCTACCTGAAACACCAGTTATTCATGTTCTGTGACTCAGTGTTAAATTTATCCTTATCCTTGGCAGGCAATTGCATTCTTTCCACTAGAGACTGACAAGGTGGTTTGCATTTCTGGTGCTTTTACTTCATCTCCTCTCCAAACAAGCAGCAAATTTCAGCACCTGTTATGGCTGTTACAGGCTTTCCATTACTTACATGAAAAGGAAAGGAGAGAAGGAAGAGGAAGGTATTTGGAAAAGGGGGGGGGGGGGGGGGAGAAAAAAAAAAAAAATAAAATTGAAGCTGTAGGGCAAGTAATTGCACTTTTCTGAGTAGAGCACTTCAGATGTGTCATAAATGGGGTTAAATAAAACTAAATGTTAAGAACCATACTAAATACGATGTGTTCTGTAATTTTATGGTTTAATCTCTTTGGTTCTTTCTGGGAAGTACCCCATATGTCATGATTATACCATGACTGTTACCATTGATACCATAATTATTACCGGTGACAGCTGTCATTTGTTGGTAGCTCCTCCCAAAGTGCTGAAGGTGATCAGATAAACAAGCCTGCTCCCCTGCTATTACCACTTCTCACTTGCTCTGTTGCATGGTTCCCTTTCTGCCAGAATGCTCTTCTCTGACCACCATACTCCAGTATTAAATTAGGAAATTGATTATATAAGGAAATGCCACTTCTATGCATGAAATCTTTATAGACAATGAAGTATTGACTCACTGATATGTTTCTACTTTAAAATACATACATTGAAGAATTGTAAACATCTGCTCTCTTAAATATCTTAAGTATTTTCCTCCAGAAGCCTTTGTAACTTTTCTGTAGAAAGATCCTTGTGTCAGATGGGGAATGGCTATAGACCAGTTATTTTTGAGATAAAATAATAATGCTTAATATTTTTTTCAGAATCCATCATCAATCTGTCACTTTGAAAAATAAGAAATTAAATTAATTATTCTCTTATTGATTCCCCTTTGCCAGATTCATTAGATTATCCCTGCATAACCCCCCAAACACCCGCCTGGGTAAAACTTGCAGGAAAATGCACTGCCTCCACCAAATGACTCATTTATATTTCATTGTTTTAAGAGGTATCCTCTGTAAATGTTTAATAGATGATGTATATATCTAGATGAATATGGAAACAGAAAACTTACAAGAACCTCGACTGCAAACTTCCATGGTTCCTGAGAAGATGAACATTTTTAATCAGAAGGGAATTAGCAGATCACTCCTAGCAGCAGGTGATCAGATTTTTGCAAATTGTGAGTAACTCTAAAAGTACTAACAGCTGTCCAAATACCTATCATTAACAAAAAGCATGAATTAGTAAATACTTGCAAACAAGACTGCAGCAGTGGTTCACCTGTATTCTTGCAAATTAGTCTTATTAGTCACATCCAACAGCATTAGGCACAAGTTCTATTATGTGAATTAAAATTGTATTTTTATCTTATGATATAGAACAGAGGAGGGGGTCATGTATTTCTTCCATGCTTCTAGTATTTGACAGCAAAATCTCTGACTATTTGTTGGCTGTTTCTTTAATTTCAGTTGCTTTGGAGAGATCGGTTTCTTATTTACATCAAGGATGAAGACAGCTACAAAGTACAGCCATAGTAACTCACAGTGTAGAGACCCAGGAAGAATTTAATGTGCTAAGTGATATGAAATCTAAATATTAAACTTTTAAGCATACAGGGGCCATCAAAATTATTTTAACTGGAGTGTAAACTGTTGAAAAGCTAAATCTCTTCAGGGAACCATGTAAATTTGCATTGCAATAGCCTGTTTCCTGAGGTCTCCTTAGGGAGCATAGAGGATTTGTAAGAAGGCTGTATTTTTTGTAGTTACACCACCTTTACTAGCTGCACAAAATCCCTCCCTGAATAGCTATGTTCCATAAAAGCAATTACAAAAATTCTGAGATTCTTATTTTCATTTCCTTTAACAGTTCTGTAGACACAACTTCTCTTTAGCAAGTAACCAGAGCATTCAGTGCTAGAGAACACTATGAATGAGCCTGCATGTTTATTTATACTGAGAATATATGGAAAATGCTGTTACGTTTTCATGCATGCTGTATGCTACTCAATTGCAAAAATCTGTGTAATTTTGTAAGAATTATTAAAAAGTGCATAAGAATATTTATTTGTCTGCATGTGTTGGGTGGAACACACAAAGGGAAATACTGGAAGTCTTCAGGGGAAACACTTTTTGAGGAGGGACTGGCTACATAAGACCACGCAGACCAGAGATTTGATTTCTACTCTTTCCTAGTGCTGCCGTTTAGTAACATGGTACTCTTATCAATACAGGAAACAAGGTGTTTTCTTTCAAAGCAACTACACAATAAGAGAGAGCAAAAAAACCTGACCTCACTTGTCGGCCACAGCGTTGAGATGAACTGCAGTTCTGACCTGTTACTCCACAGTTACAATTGTCTGCTATAATGGTACCACTTTGAGGTTTAGAGAAGTTAATTTCTTTCTGGTTATAGACCTTGTTACTTCAGGGGTAAGCCAGCATGAAGATTGAATGAATGCATGTGAATGAGCAAAGACAAGGTATGTGATCAAGTCATCATAATGAATTCATAATTTTTATTTGAATGGGTTTATATATATATATAATTTTATATTTTGTTTATATAATTTTATGTACTCATGTATATATGTAGTTAAAATTAATTCTGTATCCATACGTGTCCACACACACAAAGAATGATCTAAACTGAGGCCATATGGGGGGGACTTAGGGTTTTTTCATTTCTTTGGCAGACTGCACTTTGGTAAGATATGATCAGCCTTTCTATCCACCATGGGAACGATAAATCTAAAAGACTATAAGAAATTAAGTTCTTACATGATCACAACCAAACCTCTTGGGTATAGAAGTTAACATAGCTGCCTGTAAGTCAATTTAATACTTGCTTAAATCAATGGTGGGAAAGTGAATTACATTACATGAGGGTCTGGTAATTATAATTTGTTTTCCTTTTATTAACAGTTATCTGACAATACAAACGAAACTTTTTTTTCCCCATAGTTTCATATTTGCCTATGTCATCAAAATGAGTAGAAAAATATATTCTTATGCTTTCCTGAATTAAATTTATGTTTTCCTCAGTAAATTTTCAGTCTTCAGAACGTACCATCTTCGTTTTACCACTCAGGATACTGTTAGCAGTATTCTCAGCAACACTGCACTTGTAACAAACATTGAGTCCTGACAAACCAAGTCACATATAAATCACGAATTAGGTTCCCACAAAGCACAGGATTAGCTCTAAAACCGAGATTTCAAGAAAACCAAAACAAACAAAACAAACAAAACAAAAAACCTAGAAAACCAACTCATAAACCTTTCATTTACCCTCTGCTTTCTAGCACATTTTAAGCTATTCCCCCATTTGTAAATGCAAAGATGTAAAAACACTTCACAAAGATGTGAAACACTTCATGAGTCTTATGCAATCATATGCTAACTGCTATAAATGTCACTCTCCAATTTAAAGAACAGTACATAGACCATCCAGGCCATTCATTTCACATAGGTTGGACTTACTCTGTTCAATCTTTCTATTTTTGTCTGCCTTTGGTTTAATGGAAAATCATTCCCTTTTTGATCACAGATCTATCTATACAAGGTGATTAAAAAAAAGGAAAAAAAAAGTGTTTTGGAGCTTGGTTTTACCCTGTTGCCTTTCATCCCTGTCAATAAGATGCTATAAGCACCTTCCACAGAATACATTAATTTTAAAGAGAGAAAGCCTTGCAGTGGTTGCAGAAGGCTGAGTTCAAGCAAGGATAAGAAAGTAAACTATAACTTGATTTCCTCTTAAGCAAGAGGCCTCATTTGGTTTTGGATTCCTATGTGAAGTCATTAAGTTTTGCTGCGAGGGGAATGGTGCTCAATGCAGTTTTCAGAAAGACATTTATGGCTCCATCCCTGGAGGGCTGACATGCAGGCAAAGCATCTGCTAGCATCAACTGAATATGTAGAGGAGAATACAAGTATTTGGAGGAGCACTAGTATGAAATTTGGCCAACGCAGCTGAGATAGATAGATGAAAAATTGCTGCTGTTACTTAAATTACTTACACAAATTTAAAATCTTTTCCTGTCCTTTTCCATCAAGGTAGCAAGAAGAGATTTGGGTTCCACCAATGGAAAGTTCTGGAACAGAAGTAAGCAGAAGATATTGTTGTGATTTGCTCAAAAATGAGACAGAACATTTTCATTACTCCTTAGGGATGTCTATTGAGAGCATGCAAAAGGTGGATGCATTTGAAGTGATAAGATAGTTTTGCTATAAAAGTGAGAATGCGCAGTAAAATCTCCAACACTAACTACAAGACAAATATTTTCCTTGTTCTTAGAACAAAACAACTCAGCAAATATATCAGAAAAGGCAGATGAATAATCTATTCACTCTTGGTTCTCATCTCTCCAGGGAATTTCAGGTACTCATTAAATCTTGTGGCTGGTAGCATAGCAATATAATTTTCTTCTATCTACATAAAATTCTTTTGTGATGGCAAGATATGTATGCTGTCTTCCACTATACAATCAATTACATAGTTACTGTGGTTACTATCATAATAACTTTGCTTCCCAATAAAATACATAGTTACTTCAAGGTCAAGACAATTTCTAAATATTCCAGTGTTTAACTATTACTCAATATATATTCAAGTAAAATTCCTAATAACATCAACAGGGATCTTGATATAGACTAAAAATTCTAAAGCTGGTTCTAAAGATTTTGTGACTATTTCAGTTAGAGGAAGCCCATATTTAACCCTATCATCTAGTTGGACAAAACCTTATCAGAGAATAAACTAGACTGTACTGTCAGTCACTGTATAGATGGTATTGGTTCCAGCTGAGCACAGTGTATTACTCCTTCCGTGTACTCAAAATCAAACACAGATATCAAAACAAAGGTTGTGGTGAAATTTATAGCAACAGGAAACATATTTCTAAGTTTCAGTCCTCCAGAGCTATCACCCACGTCAGAATCAAACAGGGCTTAGTCTGAGCTAAATTTCACCCAGCTTTTTCTGTCTGCTACAAACAGTACTTTTAGAGACAGAAATATATGTATATCCATTTGTATAGAAGTAATATAACTACTAATTATCTTTTACATGATGTAACGTTTAGTATTAGGTAATGTTTTTAGACTACACCTAAAATCTTGGATTATGAAGTGCATCCCATTGACAATTTTAGCTGTTTACCTCATCTTCCTAAACCAGAACCTTTTGCTACAAGGAAATTATAGCAGCCGTAATTTCCTCCTAAGAAAAAATAAGAACACTTTTTTTACAATGTAGCTTAATTCGGGTTTTGTGATTAAAAACAGTAACTTACAGATTGTATTCTGAGATCACTACATCTTACAGACAAAAGCAGATGAACTTTATAAAGTATATAACAGTTTGTCAGTTTTGAATTGGATTTCAGAGAGTGAAATTTTGACCAAAATAGGGGAAAAAAAAATTTGCTTTTATCTATAAAAATGGTCAGGTTTTAAATACTGATTAAAAACAAGTATGTATGTTTAAAATCTGAAGCGTGTGTCCAGCTCTCCCCCCTTTCCACCTTTTCCCTGCTAGCTCAAATGGTAGTTTTGGAAGAAGAGGAAACAAAATTTTTCCTCACCACATTTGGAAAAAGTCACTGTTTTTACCACTAATGAGAGAGCAGCATTTGGGCTGTAAATCATTTGTTCATTTTTAAAGGCAAAACAGATAATGCCCTGTGTAGAAATGGCCACATCACCTGAGATACAGAGCCTCGTCCAAGCATTTAAATACAAAACAGATGGAGGAAAGCTTTCAAGGGAATATATGCAGGCGAAAAAAATGCTGTGAAATACAAGGGAAAAAAACTCTGCCGAGCTCAACAGGACCAGACAGTTACTGACCCAAGGATTATCTTTTCCAAAACTAAATGAAAAAGACAACTAAAAAGAAAGATGTTCTCCTTTCACAAACATCTAATGCAGAAATAGCATATACTACCATGGGATTATCCCTGAAAGATTAAACTGAAGGGATTTCCCATCCTAGTGTCGACTTTCTAAGGACCAGGTTTAGAAAAAATATCCCAAAAGTGACTTGACAACTTCACAGAATAAGGACAAAATAAATAAATAAAACCAAAACCAGATATTCTGTGTTATGGGAGACTTCATATTAATGAATCATATGCATTATATTAGCAAAGGACAACAAGAAAAAAAAAGACCATCTGAAGGTCACAAAATAGATTGCTATTGTACTGGACATTGTGAAAGCACGGAGTACGAGACAGCTTCTGCCTCAAAGGGCAGAAACTGGATAGAGAAAGTGGTAGAATGGCAAGGAAGGTACTAGGTGGGTCCTACCTGGTGTGACTGTTGTGTTAATCCAGTGATTGTTATAGGGATTTGTGCTGCTATATCAGAAGCTGACGAATTGATGGATGGACAGATAAAGATACAGATTCTTTTTCTTCGCAGAAAAAGAGAAGGTAGTAAACTGCAGTAAAATATTGATTTCAACAAATGTAAGCAGTATTTGGGTACGAAATCTGTGAATATTTTTTGTTGCTGTTCCTGCCTTCTGTGTCGTTTGCTTGTAAGAGATTATTAACATGCCTCAACCCTGTCAAAGAGCAAAGGCTCTGAAGGTTACACTTTGAAGCTTTTGAAGGTCCCCTCTAAACCCACACTTTCCACACACCTAAGGCATATAGGAATGCACGTTTGTGTTCTTGCCTGCTCTTATTATAGGGGGGCAAACATACCCTCTTGTATTACTAGATTAGCAGATCACTAATTGTCAGCACCTTATAAAGATACTTCCATGATGAAGGAACATTTGCATTACACAGGAATTTCTACATGTGTAAGTGTGAAAGGGGCACCCTGAACATAAGAAGTGACTGTCTTTCTGGTATTTAACATGAGATACAGTCTGTACACTGCATGAGTGGAAATGGAACATGTTTCTTCTTAGACATCCAAAGTGAACTGAGTGGGAAGGTGGAATAAACCAATCTCTGCTGTGCTTAGGGCTGTGTTAAGAAAGCACCAGGACTCAGTGAATGACAGAGAAAATGGCTCTGCATGGAGGGAGGGGTTCTTCATGACAGTCACTTCATCATCGTTGTTTGATAAAAAGCTCTGGAAAGGATTAGTTTTCACTGTTTGACTCTGGGCAGAGAAAATGTAGTGTGTAAGCGGTATAAAGTCAGAGACGAGCTATGCTTTGCTTAATCACCAGATTTTAACTGTTGTGTGCCCTGAAAGGATTTTTTTTTTTTTTTTTTTACACTCTACCTTTGCTATGGCTCTCTTTTTTCCATCGTTCCTACAGTTTTTGCTTGCTCATGGGGGAAAAGCATTAGGTAAGAAAAGCCTAATTGAGGTAAGATTAATGCAGTTCCACTGAGAACAAGGAAAAGATTTATTCTTTCCCTCCCTTCCACAGATGTCTTGTTAGCCTCGCCTAACATATGTACTTTTATTCATTTACTTCCTTCTTGTCCTCTGGGAGAAGCCTATCTCATGTAATTTATTGATTTGGCTGCCTTGTTTGTACGCATGTTAATAGTAAGCTGTATTGAGCACTCGCATATTAGTCATGTTCTCAGAAACAAGTGAAGGGGGTTTATCTATGTTCAAAAATTTGTACTTTTGGCTTACCACAATTAGGAGTTGCTTTAAAGAAAATGCTGAAATTGGAGCCTCTGAGCTGGCAAGAAATGTAAAGGTTTGAAAGAATGGGATCGAGCAGAAATAAAGCATCAAGTTCAGAAGAAATGGGCAGTCTTGGGATCCTGCCTATGGTTTTCTTTCTCTTAGCTGACTTTCATCTTGGGCTGAGAACTTCAGCTAATGCTGATGAACATTAGCAAGGGATGAAGGAAGGAAATACTTATTTTAAATAATGGTTTGATGAAAGGCTGTGAGAAGAGATGAGAAGAACATAGGAGTCCAATTTAATTTACATAGAATTGACTCAGGCAAGAGAGAGGAGCTTGGGCCAAACACTGTGTGCATTGCTTTCTTGCTAACCTTGTACTTGAGACTGGTACTACCAGAAAATCCTTTACAGTCCGTTCTGGAAATAACAGCTTTGAAAGTCACCCTATGGCATCACTGTAAAATTTTACACTGTCCGAGAGACAGACCCTTACATCAGAAGGAGTGTCTTTACTTGCTGTCAGATTCAAAAACCTGCCATGAATAAGCTCAAAACAGGTTCTGGACCTTTTAACCAGCCAGCTGCATTTACTGAAATTGTCTGTATTTTCTCCTATTCAAAATGACATTTTCATTTTTACTTTTCAGAAGAGGAAGGCTGCTGTTCTTTGCTTTCTAATAGGCAATCTACCCTTGATATTTCACAATTTAGCATCTTGACTAACACGTAACTCCTGGAAACACTGTGCTTTTGGAGCAATGTAAGTAATGCTCCTGTTACTGTTCTTCAGTTTAATTCTTTTTCTCACTTTTTTTTTTGCATAAAATTGTTTTTTGCTTGTAAAACTACCTCTTAAACACCAACTAATATACCATTACTCAGTGTTGAAAATGGCTTTTTGTTTGGCTATTCTATGATTTTGTGACTCTTCTGTAATTTGTAGAAATCCTAAGGCTGTTTCAGTAGTAGAGGCCTGAGGCTGCCATCAAATTATACACAGGTGCTTAATCGCATTGTTAGGGCACAAGGTTGTTCTTGTAGCAGAAACTAATGATGAACTCCTCTGTGTGCTTCAGTTTGTAGAGCTTTGGTCAAGACAAAAAGTGTCCAGTTTGTTGTCATCTTAGGACATGATTACCTAAATTTTTTATAAGCTACTGGTATGAACTCCCTTTTACCCACCTGATTCTGGTTCCAGCCAGTGATTTAAAAGTTTATTTTTAAAGAACAAAACCAAAATTCCATTTTTTTTTTGTCTGCTGCAGTAGATTTAAAGAATGTTTTTGATAATTTTGATCACTTTTGGGAAGTGATCTCTTAATATTTTTCTCATCATCTTGACTCCTACTAGGTGATTTTTGCTCTCTCATGTTTATACTTTTCCATTCCGTGTTGGCTAAAGGGTCTCCTTACCAGTGTGCACTTGATTCACCATAACATGAGAACAATGAAAGGCGCCTTAAAAATTTGTACACAGCTGGTGGTGCACTTATGGATTTTCTCTTTTCCTGTGGGACAGGGAAGGTTTATAATAGGATTCTTTAAATATTCTTTTCTTCCGTGTTCTTTTGTGCTACCTGA